GGATGGATGGATGGATGGATGGATGGATGGATGGATGGATGGATAAACCAGTGTTGTTGTTTTTATTTGAACATTTATAAGTCCGATTTGGAAAACATTTTCCTTCAAAATAAACCTTAAATATGGTTTTCCCTTCACATTGTGACATTTCTCAGTATTTACTACATGATGCAAAATGATTGTAATGAGTAACCTGAGCTAAAAGCTTTTCTTTACCATATAATATATCTGTTAACCGTTATTTGTGACATGACAAATTTACAAAGGAAACTGGCGAGGCATTTGCACGTTTGTTTCTTTAGTGGTGTTTCTGTTAGTCTACAACTGAAAGTCTACTGCCATCTAGTGGTGTCTGTGTATTTTACAGTCTCGTGTTCTGTGTAGTATAGGGAAGCAAAAAAAATTATAAAGAATAGACGTTTAATGGGGCCACTATCTTGAAACAGTTGCTCCCTCCACTCTGTAATCTGTTTGGCAAGCGCAATGATGTGTTTAATCAACCATAACTCACCGAGTACTAAACTGATTTTTATGGTGTTTTTTGTTGTTGCAAACCTTATACAGTTTGTTTTGTTGTACACTGAAGACATTTGACTTAAGATCAAATGATGACCATGAGACAAGAAGGAAAAAAAAAAACAGCAGTAAGTGACATCACCAACAACCTCCACATTGCTGAAGGTACAGTATCACAATCCACTGTAGGAAGAAGACTCAGAGAGCAGAAATATCGACGCCATTATTGATCGTTTTCATACTCAGTTCTTGTGTCTATTCATCAGTATTAGCAAATAACTGAGGTTTTATATGATTTATAAAGTCTCAGTTAGCCTTCATAGTCAGTGTCCTGATGCATCTCAGTAATCCAGGTAAAAAAATCAAAGGAAAAAAAAATTGTATAGGTCCTCTGGACGGGTTCTTCTTTAATGAAACGTTTCGTCTCTCCTCCGAGAGACTTCTTCAGTCTGAGAGTTTCAGGCAAAATTCAGGGAAAATGCCACTTTGTCTGCAGCGGAGATTGAATCTTAGGTGGTTCCTGTAGTCCGCCTTCTTTCTTGCTGTTTGCTCAAACTCTCTAACTAGTTTCAGGCAATCCTGGCCAAAATGGTTCAAAATGTCCTGATGCATCTCAGTAATCCAGGTAAAAAATCAAAGGAAAAAAAAAATTGTATAGGTCTTCTGGACGGGTTCTTCTTTAATGAAACGTTTCGTCTCTCCTCCGAGAGACTTCTTCAGTCTGAGAGTTTCAGGCAAAATTCTTTTTTTTTCCCCTTCATAGTCAGGTTAATATTGGTATTAAAATAATATTCTATTCACAAAATGTAAACAATAATATTTTTATCATACTACTTGTGAAAAGTTATCCTCCGAGCCCTTATGTTAAGAGATGTGAACAACAATACACCGCACAGAGCCGAGGCATCTTCTGCTGTTTGGCTTTAGCTGAGTGGGAAGGATTACCTCTCCAAGATGGTGCCTGTAATTTATGTGCTGCAGCAGTCAGTGCAGGCTCCACTCATCATGTCGGTGACAGAAAGTATAATGAAATGATCCTGGGCTGTATTTTAAAACACACAAACTATTACAGAGATGTAGAATGGGTTACTGGTTAAACCAAGTCTGGAACAGTCATCCTCCTGATCCTGAGTCTGAAGGGTTTGCTGGTTCTATGATGATGACTTATGAACACTTCTTCTGCTGGGAGCCTGGGACATTTTGGGCCTTCTGTAATCTTCATTTCTGGGATGGGATTTCTATAATGGTTTAATTAAAGAACTAACACCTTCTGGGCATTTTTCAGTTTATTTTTATGAACATCTTTATGTTGGGCTTTATGGTCTTTGACTATTACCATAAAGTTTCAGGTCTCGTTCTTGTTGAATGTTGCCTCAGCACAACCCTCGCTCTTTGGACGATTTGTAAGAAACTCGTAATGACACATTCGACATTTTAAAATGAAAACAAATCTTCTGGAGGTTTAGGTAGAGTTCAGCTAAGACGGCATGTTTTTGTTCTGTGGGAGGAAACAGAGCCAGAAGAAAACCCACAGGGAGAAGATGGTCCTGTGGGTTAACACTGTTGGTTCACAGCAAGAAGTTCCTCAGTCCCCAGTTTGGACTTGAGGTCTTTCTCTGTGGAGTTTACATGTTCTCCTTGTGTCGGCGTGGGTTTCCTTGCTGCCTTCAGGCTCAACGCTAACTTTGGAAAAGAGATCAGTGAAATATTCTTGCTGACAGCCGCTCCATCCTGCCTGAACTCTTTTTCACCTCTGCTCTCCTGGTCAGCGGACCCCAAGTCCTTCCAGTCCAAGACCTTTGAGACCTCTGCTCCCCCTTCATCCACACACCTGGATTTTGCACAAACTTTCCAGCTTTTGACCCACAAAACAACAGTAGCAGAGACCTGTGCCCCCAACTATTTTTGGATGATAAACATTTGTATCAGGTCAACTAAACATGGGCATAGTAACAATATTTTTATACTACATTTATCCATTTTAAATACACTAACCTCACTCCTTTGTAACAACTACATTAATTCAGAAAATCTTTTCAGGACCCCACCTTGATGTTTCGGGACCCCACTTTGGGTCCCGACCCCAACTTTGGGAAACACTGCGTGATGTCCTGCAGCAGCTGGCTCCTCCCCTGCGTGACGTCACACAGTCCTCCCTCTCCTCCTCTCCTCCGCAGCGCAGAGCTGCATTCCTGCCGGTGGATCGTACCATTCAGCGTTAGCTCCGCAGCTCTCAGGCGCTCGCATATCGCAATAATTAAATGCAAATGTGTTCCGATATATTTCAAGGTTAATTTTTGTATTAGTGACACTATTTATCCCAGAAAACACGGAGGTTAACAGAGTTTGTTCAAGCTAGCATCGCCCCCCCGGCTCTCCATATAAAGTGGTACGCTCCTCTTTCCTTCTGCCATGTTGGATGCTCCCACAGCTCCTGAAGCTGCCGGACTTTCCCAGGGAAAGTTCACTGTTTATTTTCTTTACGGACGTGCCGGGAGTGCGTAGTTCACGGTTCTCGTAAAACAGATAGCATAAAGATTAGTGTGAAGTAGCAGAAAAGCCTGGGAGACGGCCCACATAACGGTCCTCGGCCCTCCTGCCCGGCCCCGGGAGTCGGACTGAGGGGAGATGATCCGGTTGCAGGCCACAGCAACCGGAGCCCGCATGGAAGCCGCCTTGTAATTAGACCAGAAAGTTCAACCCGGTTCTGGGATACGTGCGTCGTGCCTGGGGAGTGTAACGGAACTGGTCTGGAGCCATGAACAGCCACCCTCCTCCCCGCAGAGCGGTGAACGTCGGCTCCCTGCTCCTCACCCCGCAGGAGAACGAGTGTCTGTTCGGGTACCTGGGCAGGAAATGCGCCGTAAGTTCCCTTCTGTTGTTGTTGTTGTTGTTGAGCCACTGCAGGTTCCGAGTCCAGACTTCTCTCAGCCTCCCTCTGCTGTGATGCACCAAAACCTGTGGCCTGTAAATGTATCCACATTGTTGTTTAAACATTGTTTACATCATGTTTACATTGATGTAAACATGATGTCTGCATTAAAACTGGTCTGCTAAGGCAGTGGTTCCCAAACTTTTTATCTTCTGACCCACAAAATATTCATGGCAAAAACTTGTGACCCCAAATATTACTGGTCTGAGTACATGAGCTTTGTTAATAACCCTAAAAACACATTTTTGATTATCTAAACACCTTGTACACAAATATAAATATTTATTTATACTTATTTTGTGTTTTTGTAATTAGTTATAGTGAAAATATTACATCAGCAATTATTCTATTACCCTTTAAATTGATTTCTGGAGATTATCCAAGGTGCTTCATGACCCATAATTGGGTCCCAAGCCCAACTTTGGGAACCAAAGTGCAGTGGTTCCCAAACTTTTCAGCTTTTGACCCACAAAATAACAGTAGCAGAGACCTGTGCCCCCAGATATTTTTGGATGATAAACATTTGTATCAGGTCAACTAAACATGGGCATAGTAACAATATTTTTTATATTACATTTATACATTTTAAATACACTAACCTCACTCCTTTGTAACAACTAAGACAAAAATGTAATTAATTCATAAAATATTTTCAGGACCCCACCTTGATGTTTCGGGACCCCACTTTGGGTCCCGACCCCATCTTTGGGAAACACTGTGCTAAGGAACAGTTTTGTGTAAAAGTCTATTTAAATGAAACAATCAGTTTTCCTTGAAGGAATGCTGAAGTTTAAATCTAAAATCCTCTTATGTTCAGAAACAGAGAGGCCCCACCTTAAACACCTGTATTCTGCCGGTCTCAGGTGTAGCAGGTGTCACTCAGACTGTGTTGAGGATGAGGCTCAGGGACCACCATGTCAGCTGTAAAACTGACAGCTTTTTTCTGAGTTTTATTTGCAGCTATCTGGACTAGACTGTATGAACACTCATTATTTTCTGCAGGCCAAATTAAAATGCATCTAATTAGTTCATTAGTTATTTTGCTAACAGACAGCATGCAAACAAATAGGGTTGGGCCTAATCGTATCGTGTGCAATTAATCGTCAGAAAAACATTAATCGATTATTTTTTGGCACTTGACGATTAATACGATTAATGCCACCTGGCAGACTAACCGCTTGGTGCTCCTCTCCCCTTCTAACATGACGAACATTAAAAAAAAGTTCTGTAATTTATTTATCTATCAACACAATTTAAAGTTTGATGTATAGCCTGAAGTCTGTAATTTTGACACAATTTGGAACAGATTTCTACAAAGAGCCAATTTTCTCCCTATAAATTGGTCATGTGACTAGGATTTAAGGGTGTCCAGGGACTCTGGGGGATTAATCATCAAATTAATCGTTATCAGCTAAATACAACACGTTAATCGTGATTAATTTTTTTGCCAATATTGCCCAACCCTACAAACGAACGTGCAGAAACAATTAAAGGAGACCAATTATGGGTCCTAGAAAGTTTTATGGTATATCTGTGGGCTATCCAGACCATGTTCATTCAATTTAATGCACAAAATAATTCTCAGATAATAAAATTTCCCATTTTTTAGTTCTGCCTGCTCTGACTTCTGTTCAGAAGAGCTGTTTATGTTAATGAGCTCTGTTGGTAACGCCCTCCAAAAATCTGTTGACATTAACTCCGCCCTCCAAAGCCAGCGTTTACGTTAGCATGGCTAATAATAGCAGAAGCTCCGTTGTACAACCATATGAGACCCAGAGGCAGAGTCGTGGTCCCAGCTTCTTTTTTTTTCTCTCTCTCCGTCCTCTGCTCTGCGCTGTTACCAGAGCAGGGAGCAGCAGCGGTCAAAATACCTCAGAAACTCGAACAAATAGGCTTTAACAAGGCTTTAATAAGTTAAACAATAGAGGTACATGAGAAAATGTGTTCATAACGAATGAAAATAAATAATTAAATTGTGTCCGTGCCGATCTCAAACCCTGGTCTCCCACTCTGTGGTCCAACACTCTACCCATTGACCTATTGGAGACATATTGTGAACTGAGCTGCGCATTGTACAACAACAACCGTGACGGCTTTTTATACTGAGGAGGTGGAGCCTCACCGGCGGGTTGCGAGTTGAGGGGCAGAAAGCTGGTTCTGGTGGGTTGTCGTACGGTTTGTGACATCACAAAATAACGGAAGTATAAAACTTGTTGTTAATATACATCAAAAATACATTTACTTACAGTAAATATGCCCCTGGGTGCATTTTTTTGGTCCTAGAAGAGAGCTGGGCGGTATGACCAAAATTTTATATCACGGTATTTTCAACATTTACACCGGTTTCACGGTATATCATGGTATTTTTCTTTTCATCACAGGTCATCTAAAAATAAAATGTACAAACAATGCTTATTGACTTTTTTCTTTTACTGTACCTCTGTCTGTGTCTCTGTTTCCCTCCTCTAAACGTCTTTTCTCTGACTGGTGGTTGGAGACTATAATCATGCATTTTGGTCCAGTCATGAAGGAGGAAGGTTAAGATTATGATCGGGTCTACTGTTTTATGTTATTTAATAAAGCTTATCAGCACGACTCACCTTGCACACCAGTCATGTGCAATTCTACTACAAACTATTTCCCCCCGGGGCTTTTCACAATAGAACCACGTTAAGTCTCCATCAGCATAACGTCTCCATATTAACTAACCTCGCGTTAAATCTAACCGTGCACGTCACTGAAAATGTGTTTACTACATTCACCGATGGTGAAAACGGGATATTTTTTAATGTCAGTCAATATAAGCAGCGGACTCGCCACCCACCGCTGCAACAAACTGCTCAACAATAACATTAGCATGCTAACGCACGTAGCGGTGCTGCGAGGAAAAGTGTCCCCCGGGAAACAGTCTGCAAGTTTTCAGGCTATTTAAACCGGTATGTCCGGTATTCAGAAAATTCATATCATGACAAAAATAAAAACCGGTATTCGGTACAAAATGGTATACCGCCCAGCACTATCCTAGAACTGTTTTTTTTTTTAAGAAGTACATACCCAAAGTTGAGTAAAAAAAACTTTAAAAAGTGAATTTTGCATAATAGGTCCCCTTTAATAACACAGATTATATAGAGTAATTTGCATTAATTAATTCGTCGAATTATTAGATTTTCAGTGTTTTTAATAAAACCAACACTTCTATAAACCAGGATTAAAGTTTGGGTATGTTTACTGTGAGTGTCTGTTTGAACAGTGAACACATCTACATGTCAGGATAACAGACACTAGGCATGTAATCTTCCTCAGAATATATGTTTGATTTAATCCAGCTTTGTAAAGAGCCCGCTGTGTTTGTTTAAGTCGCTGCTTTTTAGAAGTTCTTCATCTTCTCAGATGGTTACAGACAAGCTTTAAATCTGCATCTTCATGATTTTTTTTTCTGTAAAATGGATTAAATGCATCGTGTTTTGAAATTATACAAGTAAAACAATCGTTCAGAGACCTCGCATTTTATTTAGGGAATTATCACCCACCAGTTTTCACAGCAGAGTTTTAGACTAAAATCATCTGATGAAGGAGGTAAATATGCCTTGTGTTTTTCTTCTTTGGGGTCCGGAGGGACTTGAAAAGCACTCTATAAGTTCAGTACCYTTTACCATTTACCATTCTGCTGGCTGTCTTGAACAGGTTGATCTTGAAAAAAAGCTTTTTCAATCTCAGTGGGACTTCTTTGTTGAATAAAATAAAATGATTAGAAATGATGGAGTTGCAGCCACGTTGATCAAACCATAAAAAGAACCGTGTGCACCATTTCACGAGTTATTTTAGGACCTTGTGAAGTTGTCTCACATCAGAGTATGTGATCATGACTTTCAGCTACTACCGCATCAAACTTCAGCTCATATCTGTGAACCTGACCGAGTGTTTTGGCTGTATGGGTCTGCTGGCAGCTGAGGGAACTTATGGGCTGACTGAGTGCTGATCAGGCAAACTGATGTATCCAACAGCATCAGCACCATCCAGATAATCAGTCTGTGTATGCTCAGCACTCCTACAGGAACACATGTTGTTCAGCTAAGAAGTTACGGCTAATAATCATTTTTCAGCTTTGCAACATGCAGAATATCTCAACTATGAAGCAGGAACACTAAGAAAGTGGAAAATATAGAGTTTTAAAGGGGACCTATTATGCAAAGTTCACTTTTTAAAGGTTTTTTTTACTCAACTTTGGGTATGTACTTCTTAACAAAAACAGTCCTAGGACCAAAAAATGCACCCAGGGGCATATTTACTGTAAGTAAATGTATTTTTAATGTATATTAACGACACGTTTTATACTTGCGTCATTTTGTGATGTCACAAGCTGTACAACAACCCACCGGAACCTGTGTTCAGCCCCTTACCTAGCAACCCCCGGGTGAAGCTCCACCTCCTCAGTATAAAAAGCCGTCATGGTTGTTGTTGTGCAGCTCATTTCATAACAAGCCTACAATAGGGTAATGGGTAGAGTGTTGGACCAGAGAGTGGGAGACCAGGGTTCGAGACCGGCACGGACACAATTTAATTATTTATTTTCATTCATTATGAACACGTTTTCTCATGTACCTCTATTGTTTAGCTTATTAAAGCCTTGTTAAAGCC